CTTGGACTACCAGAAGGTCTGTACTCTGCTGGGGTAGGGAAGACTCTGAGAGCTGATGCCAGCATCGCCTAGGGCAGGGTCCTTGAGGGTGCTGTGTCCAGGAGGTGAGAGGACATTCTCGGCTGGGCTGGAGGACATGAATGAGGACCAGAGTGACCAAGGCAGAGAATGCCTGGCCTGAGGCTCTAGACTCAGGGGACAGGCCACCAGGAATGGACAGGAGGGATGCTCCAGTGTCTCCGGGGTCAGGGGCTTGCGCCTTGCTTGGGCAGAGGGCATTGTGAGCCCACTGCATGTCTCTGTGGGTTGCTGAGCAAGGCCCCTCTCTGGCTGCCTTTGTTCCCCTCAGTCCTGTTGTGCTCCCCCAGGCCACCATTCTGACACACCGAGTGTTTTCTCTTCCCAAATGTCTGGGACTGAACCTCTGACAGGTTTCCTTTGGAGGCTATTTTAAGATTCTAGAATTACGTCATACATCCCAAGAACTATTTAAGGCACGATAGAGTTAGGAGGCGACAAGGGTTCTTCAGTGGGGCGGTACCTAGGGAGGGGCTCAAAGATGGGGGAGCCACACCTGAGTGACATTGTGAGGAAGAGACATGCTCCATGTAATGACTCACCCCAGCAAAGAAGGGAATCCTGTGTGGCCCCTGGGGTTGCGGATGGCAAGAGAGGCAGCTTTGGGACAGGTGTGTCCAGTACCCAGTCGGAGTATCCTGGGCCGGGACCCTGATGAAGTTTTGTGTGGGGAGTGTCTCTGGGGACGGGGGCCTTGGAAGATGCAACGCTGACTCCTGGCTCTCCGGCTCTCTCTCCAGCACTGACAACCAAGCCGACGTACGTCACCTACACCAACCATGCAATCTAGCTGGGCTGAGGAGCCAAGCGGTCACAGAGCCCACAACCTCTGAGGACGGTGTGTCGGGCCAGGGCCGTTCCTGAGGGCCCTGCTGATGTCCTGCTTGCCCCATGGGCATCCACAAATGTGGCTTGGTGCTGAGGACAGTAGAGCCTCCGGCCATCACTGCTGGGCAAGCGGTGGTGGGCACCCGGAGGAGGCTGGGTGGCTGGGGCAGGTCCAGACTGCGCCACACGGGCTTCCCTTCCGGACCCTGTCGTGCCCAGCCCCGGGGCACGGGGGGCTTGGCCTCAAGATCCCAGCGCTGGCCTTTCTTCCCTCCTCCTGCCTCCGTCTGTCCCGCTGTGACCTGGGTGGTCCTTACCTGTCTTTGGTTTCTCTCCTGTCTTTTGTTCTGCATGTGTTGTCTGTTTGGGCTCCCCTGCTTCCGTATTTTCCTTTCTGCTCCTGCCGTTCCTCTGCCATCCGCTCTGTCCCATGCTTCGGCTCCCCCGAATCTCCCCGCCCCCACCCCATGCCATCTCCCCGCGTCTTTCTTTTCCGCTCCATCCGCTCCATCTTCTTTCGGTCTGTTCCCTTTACCCACGCACCTCTTACATGTTGAAAAGAGGAAGGGGGGATCAAAACACAAAAAAAAGCCCAAACAAAAACGAACGCTGAGTGTGTTGCAAAGTGCAGCGTCCTCCTGGTGGCCTCTGTGTGTCCCTGTGGCCTGCAGCCTGCTCGCCCACCCTACCCGTCTGCCGTGTGTCCCGCCCGCCTGCCCGCCTTGCCCTTTCCTGCCAACGACACGGAGTTCAGTGCCTGGGTGTTTGGTGATGGTCCCTGATGTGTAGCATGACTGTTTTTATACCGAGAACATTTCTAATAAAGATAAACACATGGTTTTGCACCCCGTCTGTGTGTCCACTGAGGGCCCCTCGCTCAGCCACACGCACGGCCAGGGGCCAGAAGGGCAGCAAACTTCAGAAGGCTGCTGGAGGCAGGACTCGGGTGGTGACTTTAGACCTGGATGGCTGGCATCCCACGTGAAGTGAGCAGGACACTGCAGAGTAATATTCCAGCACCTACGGGGGCTGGAGATGGCTTGGTGGTTACAAGGCATCTTACGGAAGACCCAAGGTGCCTTCCCAGCATCCACATCGGGCGGTGCTCCAACAGACCTGCTGCCCCCTGCTGGAGTTCTTGGGTACCTGCATCCACCTATGAACATAGCTACACACATGTAATTAAAATGAAACAAATCTTTAAAGAAAGAAGTACGCACTTAGGAGGTTTTTCTGCCGCTAACGAAATCCCGGCCCCTGCTTCCTTCAGCCAAGGGCGTGTGTCCCTTACAGAACTTGGTTCAGGGCTCCTCGGTCCCCAGATGCAGCCTTGTTTTCCTGTCTTCAGGTGCTAAGGTGCACGGAACCATGTGTCGGCACACGGTGCTGCAGGGGCGTGACTCTGTGTGTCTGTGTGTCTGTCAGCTGTGTATGTATCCAACTCCTCTGTGCATGGGTCTTCGGGGTGTGTGTGTGTGTGTGTGTGTGTACACCAGACCCATCTGTCCTAGACTAGTGACAAGTGTGTGCAGCAGGTGTGCAAGCCAGCAGCTGGCTCTCTTGACGGGTTGGGAGGCAGGCAGGGGGCATGGCTCAGAGCTGGACTCTTCCAGGAGAAAATCACAGAGTTGGTGACACAATGAGGCCACAGCTGGCAGTGAGACCCAACCCTGGTTCTTGGCACTGCCCTCTCCCCGACTCTCCCGCCCCATAGCTACATCACAGGGATATGGAACGCCATAGCCAAAGGGACACAGGGGCCCCGGGCAGGGAGGCATCGGGGACCAGTGTGAGACTTGCAGATGAGATCACTGTGCCGTGTACCAGAGGCCCCTGGCCCCATGAGCCAGCCCTTACTCCTGGGGCCAGCTGTGTTCAGCCCCTCCCTCCCATTACGGGGTCTGCACACACGGCACCCAGCACCTGGTTGTGAGAGGGAAGAGCGAGAGGGAGTGCTGGCCCCTTCCACCTGTCTGCTAGCACGGTCCTGAGAACTCTGTTAGGTCCCGCCCAGCGCTGTGCTAGCACTAGGGTCGGTCAGGCAAAGCTGGAGTACCAGCCAGGTCACAGGTGATTTCCGGAAGCTTCTGGTAAGCAGGTGTATGGGGGGCGAAGGATTGAATTCTGAGGGAGAAAGGCATCTCCTGGGGGGGATTCCTACAGTACCCCCACAGCCTGGGCACCTCGCCCCTCCTCAGCTCTGAGGCTCAAGGCTAGACAGGTAGAAGGGCCTGGCCCAGCTACCAAAGCCAGCTCGGCCCAGTCCCGTGCGTGGTGACCTCACCCTTGTTCTAGAGTGGAATCGGCACCCACTGGGGGTGCCCTGCCTCTCCGCTCCTCTCCCAGTCAGGAGGGGGGAGGCACAGGCCGAGGAAACTCAGCTGCTGGGGAGTCACCCTCAGAAAGGAGGCTACACCCCGAGATGTTGATTCCTAAGGTGGTGATGTGTACAGTGTTTAGTGGGCTGCGTGCATTCCGAACCCCTGATCCCCGAGAAAGCTGCAGGGTCGTGGGCCCAAGGCTGGCAGGGGTGACCTGCAAGTCGGGCTGCCCAGCTATGTGGGGTGGTAGATAAGGGTCCTGTGCTCACCACCTGGAAGGCACAGTCAGGGAAGCGGATGGAAATGCCGGCATGCGGTGCTCTGAGAAGGTGAGGGGAAGAAGCACTTCCTGGGCCAGCTGGCAGCTCCCATCCTAAGCTACAAATTAAATGTTATCATTTCCTGTTGTACTGGGGATGCTATCTCAGGCAAGTGCTCTACCACTGAGCGCCACCCCAGAAGCCCCCTCTCTTTATTTTTCTGTTCCAAGCCAGCTTTGTCTACATTGGCTCTATGCTGAACTTTCAGTCCTGTTGTCCCAGCCTCTGGGGTAGCTGGGATAACAGGTCTGCACGCCACCCCACGCCCCAGCCACGTGGACAGGTCTGCACGCCACCCCACGCCCCAGCCACGTGGAAAGGTCTGCACGCCACCCCACGCCCCAGCCACGTGGATGGGTCTGTACCCCACTCCACACCCCAGCCACGTAGACAGGTGCCACCCATGCCCAGGATTTTTTTTTTCAGTAAGACAGGGGTTGGAAGACAGGAAGATGGAATCCCTGGAAGGCTTGGAACATTCCCTGGAGTCTCTCAGTCTTGAGGGCGTTAAGTGGGGGATCACACCTCCAGTATTCTCTCTATCCTTGCTTACACAACACTCTATAGGCCTTGGGGCTGGTGACGCCAGGAGGACCAGCAGGGCCCACCTACAAGCTTGCCTATGGTTCACAGACAGCTGCTCCTGCCTGGGCCAGGGCCAAGAGCTGCCGAGTGAGATGGACAGACAGACACGTGACACCTGCCCATTCTTCTCAGGACCCAGTGAGACCAGCTGTGGAGGCCACGCCCGAGACCTGTCCTCCCAGAAACTTCTCAGCCTCCGGGATAGGAGGCAGGAGGACCTGGGGCCCAGATCCAGGGCTGAGGGGACACCAATTAGCACCGTGCCAGCTGTCCCTGGGCCACCTCTGCCCCGAGTCCCACCAAGGGAACCCCGAGGAAGAACTTAGCCTGAGGGAGTCTGGAGGAAGGGCCTGAGCTAATTTGTCACAGTCTCATGAGGGTCTCCTGCTTTCCTCCCAGTCTCAGAGTTCAGATGTCCACCGAGCTTCCAGGGTAGAGCTTCCAGGTAGACTCAGCTGCTTCTCCGGCTCCCCTCAGCCTCTCTGTATTGCCCTGGCCGTCCCCCAAGCTTCAGCTCCAGCTCTCTGAGCATCACCGGGCCTGTTCCCCAGACAGCTCTGCGTGCTGGAAAGCACACGCTCCCGGATCTCACTTCAGTTGGCAAAAGTAGCAATTAACATCTAATGAGCCTTCTTGCTTTATTTTTAGGTAACCTCTGAGGCCCTGCCCGTGGAATTCAGCCCGCCATTGCTGGCACATAATTAAAGCATGTCACCATAATTTGCCTTTTTTTTCTTACAAAGCCCATAATTATGTTTTTATTGCAAGTGAAGGGGGAAAAGAAGGGGAAAAGGAAACAGGGAGAGGCGGGGTTGGGGTGGGGACCAGGGCTTGGCTTCCTTAGCCAGGCAGGGCCCTCCCTGGCTTCTGGGTGCCACTGCCCCCAGGACACCCTGAGCTTCCCCGGGAACTTCCTCTCCTCTCCTCACAGGCTTGCTTCTGAATTTTTCAGCCTGCCCAGGGGAGAGCAGAAACGGCTGTGTCCGAACCGGCGAGTCTTGAGTTGCGAGTGGGCACGTGGGAGTTCCTGCCACGTTTCTTCCGCAGATGTTGGAAATTTTCCATAATAAAAAGTTAAACTCTGCTGGCAGGAAGGAGCCTGCTGCCTGCTCTGGGGCCGTTCTCGCTCTATGTGGTGAGGGGCTGTCTTTTTCCACCATTAATTTGTGCTACTGAGCTGGGGTGGGTGACTCTTCCTGATGGGACCGCCTGGAACGAGATGCTCCCACCCCCCAAACAACTCCTCAGGTGCTGGCTTTGGTGCCCCCCACTCCGAAGCCCATTCACCCAAAACACACTGGTCGCGCTGGAGTTCAGCGTGGAGGCACCCGTCATGGTCAGGGACAGGAAACAGGTATGTTCTAGAGCATTCCAGGGACCCTCCTAAGGGGTCCTGTGGGGTGGGACTGGGGAGGTGGGGAAATCTGGGGACAGCAGCACCCTGCCCAGTCCCCTCCCAGGGTGACAGGCATCTTGCATGTGAGGAGACCTGGGTTCCGACTAAGGCTCAGCCACTGACTCTGCTGTGCATCCCTGGACAAGTTGCTTTCCCTTTCTGGGCTGCTTTCTTCACCCTCAAGACCGTGGTGGATGCTGAGTGCAGAGCTGAGCGAGCGTACAGAATTCCTGCTCTGGTGGAAGGGAGCAGTGCAGAGAAGAGGCTTCAGGAGCAGTTGCTATGGCAACTGTGCCCTAATAAAGGGCGGGGAGGAGCATGAGCATGCAAATTAGACCATCCTTCCACTTCCCTAGCTTTGGCTGAGACCAGAGGGGCCTTCACGGTGTGAGGAGGCAGGGGAAGGGGAAGAGAGAAGGGGTGGGTTAGCCCAGAGAAGTCTGTACATGGTGCCTTCCCGTTGGCCGTGGAGGCTGAGCTGGACCGGGCTGCTGGGACCATCCCCTGCCCTATCACGCACAGGAATAGGACTGAGGTCTCGCAGAAGCCCCATCCCCACCCAGCCTGTCATCTGAGGGTGGGGAGTCTCAGGAGGAGCCTTTCCTCTCTGAGCCCTCAGCTCTTGAGAGAGCGAGTGAAGTAGCCACCTGTGAATTCCAGCCGCATGGCATACCCTGACCTCCTCTCTGAAATCCATGTTCTGTTTGAGACAAGGTGTGGTGATTCTAACTGTCAGCTCGACAACCTAGAACAACCTGGCGAGTGTCTCAGTGAAAGGTTGTCTGGGATCAGGCAGACCTGTGCGCACCGCTGTCGGAGGGGATTGACTACATTGACACGGGAAGAGACCCAGCCGGCAATTGGGTAGCACCGATCCCTGGTTTTGGACCTGGTTTAGATGGTATAGGGTGGATAAAGCTGGCTGAGCAAGGCACAAGGCATCCATGCCCCTGCTCTCGACTGATCTTGACCCCCACGATGGACGATGACCTGGAGCCCCATGTTCAGCTCAACCCCTTCTCCCGTGAGATGCTTTCCGCCAGGGTATCTCCTCACAGCAACAGAGATGAAGCTAAGAACAGGGACTGTGGTGTAGCCAGTGCTGGCCTGAGCCCACAACCCCCTGCCTCGGCGTGTGCCCTGACCCTGAGCCCACAACCCCCTGCCTTGGCGTGTGCCCCTGCACCTGAGCTCACAGCTCACAATCCCCTGCCTTGGCGTGTACCCTGCCCCTGAGCTCACAATCCCCCTGCACCTGGTTTTGAACTTCACTTTCTACGTCTATGAAACAGATCAAACGAGACACAGAAAGTGGCTTTGGGGCCCACTCACTGGGGGCGGATGTGAGTGTCTCAGTGACAGGCCACATGCACATGCTCGGGTCCCTGTACCGCGTGGCTCCTCCTCTGAGGTTCTGGATCTCCTCTCTCTCACCTCAGATAAGGGGACTCCGGGCCTCTGTCCACCTTTTGCTTCTTCTTCCATTTTAAAGTTCTGGGGTGGATGAGATGGTTCAATGGACGGAGGTGCTTGCTGGCCGAAGACCTGAGTTCCGTGTCTGGGATCCGCATGACGAAGAGACTTAACTTGTCCTCTGACCTAACATACGCCGTGGGGTGCTAGCCTGTATGAGCAGGCACATGTATAACAGATGAGTAATGGTAAAAGTTAAACTCGAAGCTTCGGAGCTTAGCGACTTGTCCACACTTACGTGCATTTCTCAGCCTGCCTTGTGGGGCGGTAACCGTGGGCAGAGATGGCACTGGTGGCTTCAGTCTGGTGTGCCTCCTCACGCTGCACCCAGTTTGGCAGTCGCCTGTCTTGATGGCACTTGAGAGGAAAAGCATCTGGACCCTGAGTTACTGGGTGGAGGGAACCTCTGCCGAACCATGACCGGTCGTCCAAGAGCAAGGAATAAACTGCCAGGGTCAGAGGGTTGGCTTGGTGGTCCGGAAAGCTTGCGGCTCTTCCAGACGACCTGAGCCCTGTTCTCAGCACGCCCTGGTGGCTCACAAACACCTGTCACTGCAGCTCCGGGGGATATGTCACCTGTAGTCATGCGCATGTGTGTGTGCGTGTGTGTGCACACACTTTAAAACAAAACAAATTTAAAAAAGAGGAACTTCCACACTAAGAAGCTGTGACTTTAGGGCTTGTAAGTGACAGCATTTCCCAGCATGACTGGTGCACTGTGACCTGTGCCTGAGTTATGTGTTGTCCCCGTGTCCTGGTCACTGCCATCAGCCACACAGACTGGCCACAGCATAGCCCGGGCAGACGCTGCTCCACCTCCTCCCCACTCCAGGCCTGGCTCCCTGCCCTCATTCCTACCCCAGCCATGCCGCAGCTCCCTGGCCGCCTCCCCTCTCGCAGTCCCTGGGCCCGGATTTTGCTTTCACTCTGCACAGAGCTCCCTCGTTGTGGATGACAGTGTCTCCTAGGAGTAGTCCTCCCTCTGCTGCCATCCCTGTCTGTTTCCATCACGTCTGTCTGGTTCTTGTTTTGTTTTAAGACAGGGTTTCTCTGTGGAGCCCTGGCTGTCCTGGAACTCACTCTACAGACCAGGCTGGCCTTGAACTCAGAGATCTGCTGCCTCTGCCTCTGTTGGGATTAAAGATGTGCGCCACCACTGCCTGGCTTCCTCCTTACCACAGGTGGTGCACCCCTCTTTTTGAACAGTTTGATTGTGCACCGTGGGGCAGCATTTTTCATGTTGTTTGTGTTTGCTGGGCTAAGGACACGTCACTGTGCGCACAGCACACGTGTGGGGGGCCAGAGGGCAGCTTTGGGGAGTTTTTCCTCCACCCACTTCACTTGCACAGCAAGCTCCTTTACCCCATAAGCCAGCAAATTGCCAGCCCAAACTCTGGGGTTTTGTTTTGTTTTGTTTGTTTGTTTTTCGAGAGAGGGTTTTTCTGTATTGTTTTGGAGGCTGTCCTGGAACTCGATCTGTAGACCAGGCTGGCCTCGAACTCAGAGATCCGCCTGCCTCTGCCTCCTGAGTGCTGGGATTAAAGGCGTGCGCCACCAATGCCCAGCTCAAACTCTGGGTTTTTATAGCTGCCGTTATACTGGAAAAGTCTGGGGCCGTTATTTCTTCAAAAATGTTTTAGTTGCCTCTTTCACCTCCTCTGTTCTGGAGACTTCTGTCACGCATGTACCCCAGGCTATGACTGTCCCCAGCTCCATGTGCTTCTTTATTCTTTTAATTTTTCTTTTTATTACATTTTATTTTGGGGGTTCTTGTGAAGATGAGAGATCAACGGGCTGGAGTCTGCCCCATACTTCTAACACGGGGGTCTCAGCATCACACTCAGGAGTTTAATCTTGGGCAGCAAGAACCTTTCTTTACCCACTGAGCCATCTCGACGGCCTCCTCTTCTTGTCTTGTCTGTCTTTCTGTGTTTAGTCTGTCAGTTTGTCTGTCTATCTAATTATCTATATCTCGACACAGTCTCACATAGCCCAGGCTGGACTCCTACTCATTATGTAGCCAAGGATAGCCTTTTGTCGTTCCTGGCGTTGTCTTCAGGGTCACTGGCTTTCGTGTTTTGGTTCCCCGCTCTGCTGTGGACCACACCCAGCACACTAACAGCTTCAGCGCAGGGATGTCCCCGCTCAGGAGCTCCGTGGGTCCTTATAGTGTCTTCCGTGGCTCTAGTTACAGACTCATCTCTCTGGCCCTCTTGAACACGTGTGTGTGTGTGTGTGTGTGTGTGTGTATGTGTGTGTGTGTGTGTGTGTGTGTGTGTGTGTGTGTGTGTGTAATCGTGAGACTGGTAATCCTTGGAATCTTTGCTGTCAGCTCACTCCAGGTTGGTTTCTCATCACGGCCAAGCCTTCCCTCCCTTTGTCTCCCAAAGCCAGACATGACCCTGGATCCAGACTCCAGACAGTGATGGCCTCCTCGGGTACCGGGTATTTTTGTCTACAAAGGAGTCCTCTGACTTATGGTATGAGCTGTTACTTGGAGACAGCCAGATGCTTTCAAGTCTGGCTTCAGAGCTCTGGAAGATGCTGGGAGCGGCAGTCTGCCCAGGGTCCTGTGCATAGGGAGGCCAGGCTTTGTGTTCCAAGGTGCCCACATGCTGGGACAGTCCCCAGAGGCCCGCATGAACTACAAGTAGTTTTGAGCCCGAGGCCCTCTCTTGAGGGGGCCCAGTTTTTCTCTGCTCTTCTCCTAGACCCTGACTCTGTGTTGTCCCCCCTAACTCACCCAGGCTTGTGGTCTCACTGGGTTCCAGCACGGTTTCTGTGACCTGGAGTGTCCCTTGGGACCATTGTAAGCTCTGAAGCTTTGTCTTTCTCAGGCTGCCTGTGTGTGTGGCTTAAAATCTATGGAGCTGTGGCTTCATATATTTCATGCCCTTCCCCATTAGTTATTTCAGAAAGGCAGTCTGGTCCCTTGTTAGGGACTGAATATGCGTCCGATCCAGCCTCTGCTAGGTCATGAGTTTGAAGTCAGCCTCAGCTACGTGAGACCAATGTAGCTCTCCAAAGCTGAAACCAGAGGTCTGGAGAGATGACTTGCAGTTAAGAGCCGTCCTGCTCTTGCAGAGGATCTGAGTTCAGTTCCAAGGGCCTATGTCAGGCAGGTCACAACTGCCTGTGACTCTAGACCCAGGGGATCTGATGTACTACCACATTTACACACATGCGCACACATAAATAAAAACAAAATGTTAAAATCTTTTTAAAAAGGGAATGGGGCCAGAGAGAAGGCTCAGCAGTCAAGAGCACCGGCTGCTCTTCCAGAGGACCTGGGTTTGATTCCCAGCACCCACATGGCAGCTCACAGCTGTCTGTAACTCCAGTTACATGGGCTATGACACCCTCTTCTGTACTCAGAGGGCACCAGGCACACGCATGTAGCTAAAGCATCCGTACACATGAAATAATAAAATAATTATTTAAATTTTAATAAAGGAAGATTTATTTCCAGGTCTAAACCATGTGCA